TATATATAATGTAATATACTTTGTAGATATCGTTTTTAGAGAGATATATAAAAATATAAAAAATGCTACGAGTGTATAACGTCTATAGATCTTGTAATTTTTTATGCTATTTATATCTCGACGAGTTTATATCATTATTTAATCGCTTGTATCTTGGCGAGTTTGTATCATTATTTAATCAACTGCGTGATTGTATCTAGTGAACTGCAAAAGATAAATACTATCTATTTTTAGAGATAACATAAAAAAGTGATATTTTAGCATAAAAGTAAAAGAATTAAATCTAGTACATTTGATACAAACGACATTAATGTACTAGTATTATTATATATTATTTTATAACATATCGTCTAAATAAAAAGAAAAAGAATTTTGAGCTACACAATGAAGTTTACAAAATCAAATCTTTATCTAAGTAATTACTTCTCAAATCACATGCTACTTTAATATACAGTTTCGCTTTTCCTTGCTAATAAAACCACAATAATAAAATAATATGTCAAACTATACAAAGTCAATCTACACCATAAAAAAGGTATTGTTTGAAGAGAGATATAAGCTACGAAATAATATTACTTTAATAGTAGCAAAGAAATAAGAATAATATGGAGGACTCAGTTTTATCACAAAGAATATCTATCAAAAGTAAAGATATTATATATATTACAAACTGCGATCACGAGAAAGTAAATATTCTTTAAAGTTTCTTATATTTCAATATTTCCATTTATTATTGCTTAGACCCAAGTTCTCTATATATTTGTCACGTCTCTTTTTATTTAAATGTGTATCATGTAAAAAAATAGATACATCAGAGCATCATGCAAAAATATACTAACTTTGAGATTCATAATACAAACAATATATGTATATATACTTTTCTCTATATATGTATATATACTATCTCTCTTTCTTTCTAAAAATTAAAACATTTAGTGCAAAAAAATTCGGTAAATTCTAAAATAAAATGCATATGTCAAGAAATGTTGCAAAAAATAGAAATGCATACGGTTCATGTGTGAAGAAATTTCATAATATTCTTTGTAATATTGAGCCCTAATGTATTTCACATTTCAAAAATCAACTGAAGTGCATCTATTACAGTAATCGAGCCAGTAACACTTCTTTTCTGTCTCAGACTTATAAGTTTACCTTCCTCTTTTTCTTGTGCTTTTTATGTTGGCCAATCAATGGGTTCCAATTAGCCTGTGTGTTGTGATCTGTCATATGATAAGATTTGGAGGAGCATTTTGTAGTAAGGGGGCTGTTTTCAATTTCTTGTTCAGACTGACTGACCAAATTGACAGGCTTGGTTATGGAACAGTTTGCAAACTCTGTATTCTTGAGCAGAGTATTTTCTAATGCAGTTATCAGAGCATCAGACACTAGAGGAGGCTGTATTCCAGATTATTGCATTATATTATTTGACTATTTAAAGGAAACGGCAATTTATCAAATCGCAATTATCAATTCGCAAATATAATGGGAACAAATACAACCCGCTGATGAAAATTTGTAAAATTGCCGTTCCATACATAGATTATCAACAATCTTGTAATTGACACACAGTAATCAAATTGCTAATAGAGATACACAATTGAAAAGACCTACAGATACTTCTAAAATGAATAAAAAATATATCTTTATCAATATATTATATAAATAATATAATATTTATTCCTGTGTAATATATCTTGGGAATATCAAGCAAATTAATCACTGTGTTGACTAGATAGCTTCAGGTATATATATAATATAAAAATTGCAGCTTATAATATATAACCAGTGGCAATTACATTAATACTTTTTTTAAGCAAGCTTGTATATATGATATTCACGAAATAACACTTTTTAAACAAATCTGCAACTGAACGTCTGTAACACATGACTCTGTTGCAAAATTATGTATTTACTAAAATTCTAGACAATCATTAATATGGCATTTTCTCACTTTTTCAATGAATATAAATATATATGTGATTTCAAAGTTTTAACAAAAGCATTATTAATTACGATTCCACAGATCACAAAGATCTTTTATTTCTATTTCGTACACATATTTTATATATGTATACACATCTAGCATAGAGAAAGGTATTCCTTTCTTTTTTATGATGATATATAGATAATGTTACTGAAAAATTGATAAAATAAAATATAAGTTTTACATAGAAATTTCAAGAATATGTTCTTATATAGTTTGAGCTTCTTATTCCTTCTGATTGATATAAAATCTATAAAATAGAATGAAACAGTTTTTAAAAAATTGAAAAAATTTTCTAAATGTTATATTATATTTTACAGTTTTAAATCAAATCATATCAAGAGTAATAATGCATACATATTAAGACAATTTATCATGCATTTATAATGTTACAAGGATTTTATCAATTTTGCAATAATAATTTCCATATTGCAGAACAATCACACTCAAGCCGCTGTTTATTAGTAATTATAGGCATTAAATTTTCTGTGATTAGTGAAGTATCATATCGGCGTTCTGCAGCATAGTGCAATATCTTACGCTTTTGTTATAGAAAACAAAATTTGTTGTTATTATAAAAGCTGTATAGTATTTCTGACAGAGAAGGCACCATATAAATAGGAGTCAAATAAACCCTTATTAATAGATACCAACCTCGGATTGAAGAGAATCTGATGTGGGTGGACCGTTCAGTATAGACTGCTCTGAGCTGCTACAGCCGCCGCAAATTTCGTTCTGGAAAAGATAAAAAATTTTATTTTTCATATAATCTCTATTCACATTATTTCTTTTCATATAATTTTAAACATTTATTGTTGTTTATATGACGAAAGAAAAATTAAATAATGCCAAAAACAAAAATACCTTAAGTTGGAACATTTCCTGTTGAAGCTTCATGACAAGACTTTTCTCATACACTAAACTCGCTTCACTAGTTTCAACAAGGGAACGTAATTTCGTAACTTCGGCATCTAGTGTCGCCCTTTTACTGCACTCTACTTCTAGCTCCTGCGATAACCGGGCCTTCTCCTAAAACAATAACGAAAAAAAATAAAATAAAATAATAATAATAATAATAATAATAGTGGAAGAAATATACTGCAACATCAGTTAACAAATTTCAGTCTCCAAAATAAAAATTTTTGTAATTCTTACCTCTTCACTTGAAATTAATTTGGCTTGCATATTGTTAAGTTCTACTCTAAGATTCGCCACTTCATTCTCCTTCTGCTGAAGTTGTGATTGCCATCTTGTTTCCTCAGATTCTACATGACTCTGTAGTTTGTTAAGCATACCTTCCTAAAAAAGAAAAATAAAATTTTAATTAAACACTAGTTTTATGCATATATATTACCAAAATTATACATTTTTTATTCTTTTCAAACAGTATCGATATTCTGTATTATACACATATATATTCTAATGAATAAAGTTATTAAGAAAAAAACATGTAATAAAACATTAGCGATGAATTTATCTTGTACCTCTTGTAATTGCTCTAAAGTAGCTATTTCATGACCATCTAATTCCTCGATAGGTGTAGTTTTCTGCGCGGTTTTAAGTAATATTTCAGAGCGATTCTGTTCCACATGATCTTCTAACTCTTTCACCCTCTGCTTGATCTACAAAAAAAA